TTCGACGATGGAGCCCTGTGCGCGTTGGACCAGGCAGATGATTTACTTCGGGAGTTTGAAGGGTCATTGGCTCTGCGACAGTGGCGAGAAGCTGCTGACTTACACTGTGGAGGAGGATTGGAAGGAGGTGCAGACTTGATCAGTCTGCGACGTTATACCGACAGCCTACAGCACGTGCACAAAGGACGGCAGGTCGCCGAACTTATGGTATCGATCGCTGTGGGTGGAGTTTGGACGAATGTACGCAAGTATAGTGCTAACGTCGGCACCACTGATATCTGTGACAGATGTCCTCAGGCTCCCGAGTCCGACGTCCACAGGAATTGGTTGTGCAAGTGTAACAATGACGGCAAAGCTTTCGAGCAATCGGAATATCCGGTTCCAGAAGCAGTGGCGGATCATGACGCACACCCGTGATTCTGGAGTCGGGGCATCATACCAGCGCATTGGACGAGAGTATCTCCTCCGAGCGCAGTCGAATCCTGGTCAGGAGCTAATTTACATGACGGACAGGCCTGCTTAGGCCACGGCACCGCGGAGTGCCCAGTGTATGCCTTCGGGGGCGCTTCAGGCGGCCCCGACACTCGTGACGTTCGGTTGCGGCGGGTTGGGCTAGCAGTTTGTGTGATCACGAGTTTCACGCCTTTCACGGTGGGGCCCTTTCTGATGGGGCCACTCGCGGGAGGAGTACAGACTGTGCCCGAAGGTGAGCTCACGGCCCTCGAGCTTGCCATTCGCAGCACCACAGGTCAAATGATTTTTGTGACAGACTGTTCAGAAGTATGTCGAGGGTGGTGGGCGCAGCTGTATCGCCGACCTGAAGGATGTCATGCTGGGCTGTGGAGGCTCATCGGGCGGCACCTTGCAGAGCAGCAGCGACCCGCCACAGACATCACAGTGATGCAGATTCCGTCGCATTTGGACGCAGAGGAAGTATGCAAACGACAGCTGCCCAGCTGGATGGTCCACGGCAATGCAGCAGTGGATCACCTCGCAGGCGAGGCGGCAGTGGCGGCACGAGTACCAGCTGGAGAGCGACATCGTGTGCTGATGGTGGAGAAGAAGGCCGTACTCGTACGGCGACGGCTACTTCGAGCAAGCCCGTGCTCGATCCAACGTGGGACTGAGCTGAAGGCGGAGGCTGCAGCGCACAGACGTGCTGCTCGTACCGCTGCTCGGGCTGACGACGGTGGAGCTGTCCCCCCTCCTCCCCTGCGGCCTCCCTTGCCGCACCCTCCCGCGCCAACTATTGTTGCGCGCTTCGCGACGGCGCGCACCCTTACTGACAGCAGTAAGTCCTGTGCTGTGTGTCACGGGTCGGCTACCTTAGCCACCTTGTCCGAGTGGCTAAAAAGTGATTGCGACTCTTTAGTTTCTATGGATGGTAGAGTGTCTCGGGTGAAAAGGGGGTGTCGTATGCATATCGCTGGTGGTTGGGCCCACACCTCGCATGCACTAATGTTTCATCACGTTCTAGGAATATGGTACTGCAACGTCTGCAGGTATTTCGGACAGTCCCAGCTCAGGGGACTAGGTACCCCTTGCAAGTTACCTGTTTCCAAGACTCGTCGGGAATATCTTGACCGAATTCGGCGTGACGAGTTTCCTAAGTGCAAGTAATCTGAGCCTCGAGCAATGGCTTGAGTGGTGGATCTTTATTTTTCGCTACGCGAAGGTTATAATCCCTGTAATCCCTCCTCCTCCTCCTCCTTCTCGTCCTCATGCTCCTCCTCCTCCTCCTCCTCAGCCCTCCTCCTTTTCCTTCCCCTCCTCCTCCTCCGCCTCCTCTTCCTTCTCCACCTCCTCCTCCTCCTCCTCCTCCTCCTCCTCGTCCCCCTTTTCTTCCTCGTCCTCTTCCTCCTCCTTCTCCTCTTCCTCCTTCTTCTCCTCCTCCTCCGCTTCCTCCTCTTCCTCCTCTTCCTCTTCCTCTTCCTCCTCCTTCTTCTCCTCCTCCTCCTCCTCCGCCTCCTGTTCACTTTCCCCCAGGTTCGCCGCCGATTCTAGGGATTCCGCCCCTGCAAGCCTGCAGGGCGCGGGCTGCAGCCCAAGGCCGCAGTCGGCCTCGACATCCACGCTGTCCTTCCCAGCGCGTGCGCTGCGGAGCTCCTCCTCCTCCTCCTCCTCCTCCTCCTCCTCCTCCTCCTCCTCGTCCTCTTCCTCCTCCTCCTTCTCCTCCTCCTCCTCCTCCTCCTCCTCCTCCTCCCCCTCTCCGTGCATTGTCTCTTGTCTCCGCAGGCTCGTGATATTTATCATTTTCATCGCTTCCTGCACCGTCGGAGCAGGATAGGTTCGAGCGGCCCACCCGACCCCACGACTGCCTTTCTGCTCACACGCGCTGCGCGCTTGGCCACCGACCTTCCAATCTGGCCATGAGGCGGCAGCAGCGAGAGCGAGAGCGTGGGCGGCGGCAGTAGTTGATCAGACGGACTCAGAGGGACGCTCCGCCTCCTGCGCGTGCGATACGGAGCCTCGCGTCGCCTTCAGCTTGGGCGCCCCCGAGCCCGACGGCGCGCCTGCGGAAGCGGCCGAGTTTGCCGAGCAACTCCAGGATTTTGCCGACCAGGTCAACGGCCGCGTTCGGAACCTCCCCAGCAAGCCCGCGGACCAGCTGGAGGCCCAGAGGCGGAGACTGCGGCGACGCGTCCGGCTCTGCTGGCGCGTGGCGCCAAGCAGCGGTGGGTCGGGCAGCCCGCAGGCTGGGGGCGCAGCGCCCGCCGCCGCGGCCGCGTCCGCTGCGCCCTTCCACGGCCGACGCTGCGCCTGCCGCAGCGGCCGCGCCATGCCCTCAGCAGGCCAGTGCCGCCCTTGGGACTCCTGCCGACGGCCCCCCTGCTTCCCCCGTCTGGGGCCGGGCGCGGCGCGGCCCGCCTGGCGGCCTTCAGATCCGCCCGAACTGGGCGTCGCGGGGCGATAAACGGGGGGTAGAGAGGGGTGCAGAAGAGGGCCCCCTTCAAAGGCCCCTACAGAGGTGCGTTGGGGCCCCAAAGGGAGCCTTTCGGGCCCGAGAAGTGTATTTTTTCCCCCCACGTTGGTCGACCCCATTCAGCGACGCCCAGCCGAAGAAGATCTTTCTGGGGCGCGTCGAGGAGCCACTGATCGTGGCGGAGACCAGTGGACATCCGCTGCTGCCACGGGGCCCGGCGCCGTTTTCCTGTTCGGTGCCATCGCCGTGGGGCCCCGCGGGGGCCCGAGCTGGCCGCAAACGCCGCAATGCCGTGCTCCTGGTGGGCCTGGCGGCGGCGGGGGGTGCTTCCTGCTGTCTCGGCGGCGAGCCTGGGGGGGAACTGAAAAGGGGAAGGCCTTTTCAGAAGGTTCGGAAGCCCCTGGGCCTTCTGAAAAGTTGTCCTGCCTCTCCCCGAAGATACATATGATTCCTCAGAAGGCGCACTGGGCTTCTGAGAAGCCCCGCCGCCTCCCGAGCAGGCGTCTGCTTCTCACTTCCCCCTCTCGCTTGCCGCCGACTGTCGGCGCTTCCCGGGACCTCGGGGGCGAAGCTCACTTCGACGGGGCCGAGCCGCACGCCCTCTGTGTCGCGTGACACTTCCCTCGGGGCGCGCGCGGGCCGCGCGCGGCGGCGGGCGCCGGGCCCCGGTCGCGGGGAGACGCGCGTGGGCAGGCCCGGCTGGCGCCGCGGCTGGGTGCCCTGCGGCCTCGGTTTTCTCGCACCCTTGGAGCTTGCCGCCCCTCCTCCCTCCTCCCTCCTCCCTCCTCCCTCCTCCCTCCTCCCTCCTCCCTCCTCCCTCCTTGCGTAGTGATGGGGGGCCTCGTAGAGGCCCGCGTGCGCCTGGCGCGGGAGATTCAGGAGGGGAATATACACACAGACACAATTAATCGTCGATCCCCAAGAAAATGTGGGAAAATATGGGAAGTGGGGGGGGAAGACGAACATCCAGCAAATATGAGAAAATATGGGGAATTCTTTCATTTGTGTGTATTTCTTTGTGTGTCCCAGGGCCCCTTCAGAGATGTGCGACCGCGCGCGGGAGCCACGGAGCCCCTACCCAGGAGGCCCTTCGGCGCTGCTGGCGGGAGCCGCGGGGCCGCGACTGCGAAGCGCACGTGTCAGTGTGTCCGCAAGCTGGGGGTACATAGACGAATCCTGTAGCGTTCGACTAGACGATTCGCAAGGCTATGGGATATGAGCGTGAGGGGGCCAATGGTCAGCGCCTGTTCTGCTGGCTCGTCGACACGCCTCCTCATGTTCACGCCCTCTCTCACGTTTCAGCACCTTCAGAGGCGGAACTCAATGTCATGACGGCAAGTTAAGGGCCCTTGTCCACCCCGCTCATTCAGCGGCGCCCGATCCAACCGCTTCAGCATGGTTCCTGGCTGTCAGGTCGGCTTTCAATGTCAGCGCGTGCGACGATTCACGGGTGTTAGAACTGGAGGGCTTGTCCTCGCTATAATCATTCAAGGACAGGCTGCGAGGTGCGGCCCTCCCCGAGCAAGGGGCGCTTCCCCTTGGCTAGATCCTCCTGAAAAGCGCTCTGCCCGCTCGGATACCTGGAAACTTGGTCAGTGACCATCTCCCTCCTCTCCCCCCGCCCCCTCACTTCCCCCCCTCTTCCCCCGTGCCCTCCCTCTCCCCCCCTTCCCCACCTCCTTACTCTCCACTCTTTCCCACCAGGGGGGCTTTAAACATGTCTTGCCCATCAAAAGCAGTACACTCCTCCACACATTCTCAGAAGCGGCGGACCTTCTTTGAATGCCGACCCCTTGGAAATGCCCCCTTGGGCTCTGTCAAGGAAGAGGTATCGCACGAGAGTGTAGCGTGACGGGGTGAACAAGCAGTGGGATTCAGAGGGGTGGCAGAGGGAAGCAGAGTCAGAAGAGGTGGCATGTTGTGTTTCGGAAGCCAGCTTTTGGCAGAGTGCGGATGGAAGGTGAAGCTAAACGCGCATTGAAATGACCAGCTCGGCGGCAGCAAGGGCACGGGAGAGGGAGCTTCTGGGAGTATGGTCACGAGTTCAATCGATTACATGTGGTCGGGGAGGAAGAGGTACAACACCGTGCATGGAGAGGTGTGTGGAAAAAGTGCTCTAAGGTCACAGGGGCACGCAATGAGAATGGGGAGCGTGGCAGCATGTCGAACCGGGCAGTTTTCTCCTCTGCATTCTCCGCCTCCGCACTCGCTTTGGCTTGCCTTTGGCGAGCCGCTACTCGATCGGTGACACGTCAGAGTGACCCTCTACTGGAGTGACCATCGGTGCGCGGCGTTCGTGGGGGGCTAATCCCAAGCATGCAGGCCGCTGCTGTCGCATCGCATGCAACGACCGGCAAGCCGCGCACCAGATGTCACTCTTGCCTAGGGTCGCTCTTGCGGGTATCGGCGGCGAGCGAGGGAGAAGGAAGAGGCCTTCTCAGCAGGTGGCGGGGCTTCTCAGAAGCCCAGTGCGCCTTCTGAGAAGTTTCCTGAGTCTTCGGGGCTGGCACAGAAAGCTTCCCAGAAGGCTGGGGGACTCCCGAGCCTTCTGAGAAGGCCCGCCCCTTTCACTTCCCCCCCGGGCTCGCAGCCGATCTATCCCAGCTCTATCGCTCAGCGCTTGTCATGTCCGCTCCGGCCCCGAGCGCCCCGCCCCTGGACTGCGGCGGACAGCTGTGCAGCAACGGGTGTGGCCGCCCGCCGTTTGGCCACTTCGCCACGTGCTGCACCCACTGCGGGGGCCCCGGTGGCCCTCACGCGCACGACTGCCTGGAGAAGGGCGCTGCCGCGGCGGCCCCAGCCCCAGCTCCCGCTGCCGCCCGTGGCGGGGCCAGGGATACCTGGGCCCGCGTGCGCGGTGGCTCCGGCCCTGGCCGCGCCCGTGCCTGTGGTGGTGGCCGCTCACGCGGTGACCCCGGCCCTGGCCGTGCCTGTGCCAGTGGTGCAGGCGTACGCGGTGACCCCAACCGCGCCCGTGCCTGTGGCGGCGGGTGCTCCCTCAGGCCTGCCCCACGGCTGCCAGCCGGCCGGCGGCACGGTGGAGGTGCAGGCGGCGGGCTACTCAGAGCCCGAGCGCGTGGGGTTTGGCAAGGCCTTCCGAACCTACTTCTTCGTCGTCTCCGCCGCCGGCGTCCGCGAGCAGGTCGGCTTCCGCTTCAGCGCGCTGCGCGCGGCGCACGAGCAGGCGTCCCCCTCCGGCGTGCAGTTCCCCTCGCGGCACGTGTTTTGGGACATGGCGAAGGAGGAGAACGCCCGGGCACGCTCGGCGGAGCTCCTGCGGTACCTGCAGAGCTTGCTGAACGGCGCGGACGTCGCAGAGGCCGGGCGGCTCACGCTGCAGCCGAGGCTCTGCCAGGCCCTCGGCTGCAGCCCAGCGCTGGCCGAGGTGCTGCAGGCTGTGGGCCGAGCGCGCCGCGAGGACCACCAGCGGCGGCTGCAGGAGCAGGCGGCGCAACTGGCGGCCATCAGGCAGCAACAGTTGACCGACCGCGACTTCGCTCAGCGTGTTAACCACCAGGGTACCGCGCTCACCATGTTCTACCCGAGGAGGCTCTCCTTCGAGCTGCGCGCGAAGATGTTCAGCTGGAGAGACCAAGTGAATATCACGGGCCCGGGGGGCTTCGACTGGTTCTGCATGCTGCGCGCCAGCTCTTTGTTTTCCCTGCGGGACACAGAGGTAATCGCCAATCTTAGCGGCGAGCCCCTCCTGGCGCTCCATCGCCAGTTCAGCTGGATGCACTACAGGTACCGCCTGGAACGCGTGGGCCTGGCAGGACTTCGCATGCCCCTCTGCTCGATAACGCGGCACAACAACCTCTTCAGCGCGGTCCAGTACGACATCCAGATGGAAGCCATGACGTTCGGTGGTATGATTCACTGCCAGGGACAGTGGTTCGAGGACTTCGTGCTGTATCAGGGGGGTGGCCCAGCGTGTCGCATTAAGAAGCGGCCCTGGACGTTTCCCGAGGTCTACGACGTGACCATCGAGCAGGGGTACGACGTTTTGTTGCTCTTGGGTATCGCTTGCGCTATCGATCACATTCACCATGAGGTGGAGGAATCCAGGAGGAGGTAGCCAGAGTTGCGACTTTGGCAGCGCCAGCATTTTCACATAACCAATTGTTTGAAGACGCGTACGTGCATCCACCGCGCTCGCGTAAGCGACACAGCAGCGCCACAGCGTGGATTGCCTGCAGCGTCACATGATTAGTGCGTTGCCTCTTGCGGGCCTCCTGGAGGCCGAATGGTGTGTGTGTGTGTGTGTGTGAGTGTGCGGGGGGGGGCGGAGGAAGAGGAGGGGGATCCGGGCGTAAACGGGTTGGTGCTCAAGGCGGCCGGGGCGGCACTTACAGCTCATTCGGCACTTGGCCCGCTGCAGCTAGTCTTCGGCGCGACGTGCTCTTGTGCAGGTCGGTCTGGCTGGACAATTCCAAGGGAAATCCTGCCATGTCACAGGGGCAGCGCTGCTCCTCGCTCTCCTCTCCTCCTCCTCCTCCTGCTCCTCCTTTTCCTTGTCCTCCTCAATCCACCCCTCCTCCTCCTCCTCCTCCTCCTCCTCCTCCTCCTCCTCCTCCTCCTCCTCCTCCTCCCCTCTTCTCCTTACGCATGTGTGGCTCAGGGTCCTGCAAGCATTTCGGCTCACCCCTTGACCCCGTCGCACCTCGATGCCTCAACGTGGCGCTTGAGTGGCACTTCGTCTGCAGTGCCCGTACACTGTCGATCGAGTTGTCTGAATCGAGGGCAGTTAGCAAGTATTTTGCTAATTGCCGCTTTACAGAAGTATCATGTGGCTGGGCACTGGCCTCAGGCAAAACAGTCTGGAACATTTCAACACACCGCTTCACTCGATGCCGCTGTGACATCATGTTGGTTTTCTTTTGGTAGAGCACAAACTGGATCTGGTAGTGGGTATCTGGCCCTCCCGGGCGGTCGTAGAGCTCGGGGATCGCCCTTGTGGCTCACCGCCAGGAAGAGGCTTTCATTTCAAACATGTTCTTCAGTTGTGCATCATTTTGGCTCGTGCTGTTGCATATACTGGGGGTTGTCGGTGTGTCTTCTGTCCTCTTCGGTTGTCGGAGTGCCAGGGGTTGACATACGCTTCAATCAATTTCTTCTGTTGTGTTGCTGCTACACTGCTGGGATCAACCCGCCTTGGGAGAGCTGGCAGTTGCAGCATGCCCTACCTTTCGACAGTTGCTGAAGCTATTTTCACATCACCGTGCATCGTGCCACGGTGGTGCCAAGGCTACTTTGTCTTTTCAGGCGTTTGAATCGCATGTCAGCGCAGCTGTGTGGTACCGAATCGGAGCTCATATCACCTCGACTCGTGGTGTTGTTCATGCGTTTTGTTGTGTGTGCTGGGTTGGTCGTTTTTTTTCGTGTGCACGAAGTACGTGCTTGTGGTTGGTCGGGAAAAGCAGAGAACCCGTTTGTTTTTGCCAAAGCGATGTGAATTCATTGTTTGCGCGGATGGCAGCGTTCATATGGCAAGCAATTGTTCTTTGACCTCTTTTTATCCTGTCGGTCGTGTACGTGTTGCTGCACTTCATTTCCCGTGCATTGCCGCTCATCTTCGCCAGCTTCGCCGTGTGCGTCGAGCGTTAAGGCGGCAGGGTATGGCATTTGTTTGTTGTGACGCTTCGCGTCTGTTCGGATTCCGATTCCGACTCCCTCCTCTCATTCGTATCTTTTTCGGTCCGATACAGGTGAAAACCCGATTTGGTCGGACTGGCGGGCGACGGCGGTGTCTGCGCGCGCGGCGTTGTGTGCGCGCACGGTGGCGTCTTAAATCTGGAAACATTTCCTCTTTCGCCGCGCTCGCGGTGTAGGTGATCGGCGAAGAGCATTACCAAAAGAGTCCCGCCTTCGAGGGATTGGAGGGTTGACCTCTCGTCGGTATTGGATGCCATCGGAAGGCCCGCAGAAGAAACGAGGGCGAGTTTGCCGGCGACAGTTGTGTACTCAGGGTTTCTGGAGTTGCGCGGCCATGCGCTTCCTAAGCGTGACCTCCGTTGCACGTGCGACGAACACAGATTCGTCGCGCCTTGCTTGTGTAGGTGCCCGTGGAATTTGGCATGGCGCGGGCCTCGGAACCGCGCAGCACGAGAAACACCATTTCAAGCGGATCTGACCACATGGCAGCTGCATGGCGAGATGTTCGACCTGCATGGTGAGCGACTGCTCTACCCTTGTGCCGTGGAGGTGCGGACAGACATCGACAGCTGCTCCGATTGTTTGCGAGTCATCGCGTTGAAGATGGCACTTCCTTCCCAATCAGAACGTTTTTGTGGCTCCTGCTTCTGGAGCTCTTCGCTGACGGCGCCGACGCCAGTCCGCAGCACTGCCAGGAAGGATGGACCGACTGCACTTTTGTGGGCACGCGCCCTCTGGCAGCGGCATGCTCTGGGGTAACCACGGCCTCAGTGAAACAACTGCAGCAGAGAACGGCGACCACCACCAGCAGGTTAACCCTTCGTGGAGACTCCACCAGGTCCCCTTCCAGGTCGCAGCCCCCAACGCAAGTCAGTACTGCGCAAGACACAGGTACATACCGTTGGAGCTGCGCCTTCTGTCAGAGTAGGTGTGCGCAAGCATCGCGCAGTACAGCGCGTGGGTGTAAGCGTCGTCTGCATGTGCTCCCCGCTCTGCTTGTAAGGCAGGTCTCGGTATGAGCCTGAGGCAAGAACGAATGCGGCACCGTTCTGCATGGGCGGTCCACGACGCATTGGCGCAGCACTTGCGGCGGCTCTCCGTCCGCAGTAGCCGTGCGCTCTCAACGTGGGCCTCCGCTAGGGGCCAGTGCGCGCCCAGAAGCCGGTGCCATCTGCCAGCAGGGCGGTCCACGACTGCTTGCAGCTCGGCGGCTCTCCGCCCGCGGCGTCCGTGCGTGGGCGCGTTCGCGCGAACTCAGCTGGCGGCCGCGGGCAAGAACTTGAGCAGGTCAGCGGGTACACAGCAACGCAGTAACGTTTCGATGACCAGCGAAGGGTGTCGATATTCTGCACTCCTTACTGGTGATCGGGCCATCTTTGATTCGCTCAAACATGTGGGCTCTCGGTCTTGTCGCGGCGCTCCCTTTCTGCTCTCTCAGTCGTTGGTCGGTGCGCCTGAGGGTGGATCGGCGCGCTGCCTTCGCAGGGGGCGCAGCCGAGCCAGTGCGCGTCTCCCGAGTCCAGCGGCAGAGTGCGCGGTGATGGGCTTTGCTGTTGTACGCAGAGCAGCGTAACTTGAGTGGATCTTTGCCCCGCGGCCCTCTGGGTGCAAGGATGTGTAGTCCGCCGTTTTCCGCCGCGCGACTGTGGAGGATGCGCTTCGCCTCGGCGTGCGCGGCATGGCTTCGCGGCCCTTGGAGTTGAGCTCTCTCGAAATCTGCCCGTTCTGTTGCCGCTGCAGCTGGTAGGATTTGCACCGCTTTCTTGGTCTGGATCTTATTTTGGCAGCGGATCGTGGTGCTTGCTGGTCAACCGTGCTTGTACTATTAGCTTCGAGCTTCAGCGGTGTCCATAGAGGCAGTGCACCCCGCGCTGGGGCATCCTAGAAACTGAAAGATCTTCGAGTCGTAGACACAGCCGTCCGTGAGATGACTTGCATTGTGGCGTCGTGCGTCGCGTAAGGGAGGGTGGGCGGCAAAGAAAACGCACTGCACCGTGCACTCCCAATGGTGCCGGGGACCTTGCAGGCTTGGTCACGCGCGTGGTGCGTTCCTCTTGGTGACTGGTTGCACTGGCAGAGCGCAGCCATGCGGATTGCTGCCGTCGAAAGCTACTTAGCGACACATTCAAGATGCACCGCGTCCGCACGTTCCTCTGGTTTGCATGGAGCCAGGCCTGTGGCTATAGCAACGCCAATCACCAATACCATCCAAGTAATTGCTAATGGTGTGATCTCCTCATCGCCGGCCTCCCACCTGAGCTGGGTGGAGTGCTGGATCAGCGCTGGAAAGAAGGCCTGAGGTCATCACCAGTGATCGGCTTTCAGCTGGTCTTGGATCTTCGGCTCGAAGTTCCGCGCGACGTCTGGAGTGCCTGGCTCCTCATGGTCAGGAGGAAACGTCTGCTTCGGCAACCAGTAGAGCGGGTTGCCCGTCAGGTCTGGTGGCTTAGCAGGCGTCGCTCATGATTATGAGGCTGGCTTAGCAGGTCCGCTTTCCTTGAAGCCGTCGGCGCACGGTAGCTGTCGCATGGGGTCGCGCTGGAAGGGCGAGCCGCCCTGAGAGTAGTGGTGGGCACAACCTGCGGTGGAGCATGAGTGCCCGACCTTGCCGAGGCCCGCGTGCGACCGCGTGCCGGTGCAACGTCGTCGTTCTCGCCCGTCCCCATGCGCGGCCAAGGATTCTCATCGTCTTGCGCTGGCATGGTGCAGTGAGCTCGGTCATCCATACTTTCCTCCGCTTGAAGATAGGCGCGTACCTACTCACGCTTGGCGTCTCTCGCCTCCCTGCCCGCGGACAGTCGCTTGTCGGCGCGCGCGCGCGCGAGATTTTGGTCATTTTTGGTCATAGATGGCCGCTGGGTAGTGTCTGCTCACGACTTTTCTAGCCCTTGATTTTCTGGATGGCAAACTGTTCAAATCTTTCAGCGATTCCTCTCGCAATCGTTTGCCCGATGTCTTGGTGCGTCTCCGGTCTCACGGCCTCTCCCCGCAGGAGATATGCGACCAAACTCGCGCAGTATGCCGAATCAGTCAGGTGAGCCTGTGGACACCATGCCCAGCTCACCCAGCGGCGCAGTACAGCAGCTTTTGTGCTCTGAGATCCTTGGGCCACTGAGGTTAAGGCCACGCGGGCGCTCATGAAATGTTCGGGGCCGTCGTGCGAAGTATAGCCACTGCGCCGCAGACGTAAATCGACTGCAACCATGAAGCCATTTGGGACCGGGGTTTCTTCTTGGCCGTCGTTGTGGTGTGGAGGTAGTGGTAGGAGAGGATCAGGCAGGAGCTGGGCGCTGAACTGGTCGTGCTCAGGTCGGTCCAGGAATCGATTGCAATTCCGAGTGCGCGTCGGTAGCTCCAAGGGGGTCTCCAGGGCATGCAGTTTCAGAATCTCTTGTCTTTCCACCGCCCAGCATGGGCAGCAGAAGATGACGTGGCCGAGTTCTCCTCGGGTGCGCCGCAGAAAGGGCATGCTCGATAGCTTGGATTCTTGGTGATCTTGACGAAGCGCGGGTCCGTGATGGTGGATCCCTAGAGGTAAGGCCGTAGGAGAGGTCTTCCTGGTCGGGTGAGCTTCGGGGCAGGAGCATACTTCGTCCTCGTTGAGGTCGTTGCACGTAAAACGGGC